GAAGAAGTTCTTCACAGTGGGAGTGGTGAGGGTCTGGAATAGGTTGCCCAGGGAAGTTGTGAATGCTCCAACCCTGGAGGTGTTCAAGGCCAGGTTGGACAGAGCCTTGGGCGACATAGTTTAGTGTGTGGTGTCCCTGCTCATGGCAGGAGGGTTGGAACTAGGTGATCTTAAGGTCCTTTCCAACCCTAACTATACTATGATCTTCAGGTTCAAATGGCCATGGCAGTGGACTTGTGCAGTTTATCCATTGTGAGTCTACACACATGAAATAGAAAATGATTAATCTTTACCACTAATTAGAAACGGGAAAAAAGAAAGATAGGGCGAATTTATTTTGTTCACAATTTTGTGGCAGGTTGATAATTGGCAAGGACTATTTATTGCAAGGTGCAAAAAGGCATTTCTTACCTAGTTGCAAATATGTTTAACTAGGCAGGGGTTGTAGCCCTTATCCATGCAAAATACTGAAATCTCTGCCTGGCTTGAGTTCAGAATCTTAACATGCATTTTGCTCTGAGCATTGTTCCTTTCTAGGTAATCTTATGTACTTAATTCTGGTGTGTGGGTAAGGGAAATGGATTTTTAAGAAGGACATTTGTGGGTATGCATCTCTGAATTAAATGCAGCAGTCCAGTAGTTTTCCCCTAAAGATCTCCTTTATGTCCATTACGTTAAAGGTCAGAGTTAGAGAAATGCTTCTTTCTGTCTTTATAGGGAATATGACAGTCTAGCTTTAGGTATGAAAGTTGCGTATCCAGAGTTTGGGTAGTTGAATTATTTTCTACTGCCTACATAATCAGAACACCCAAAAAATCTCAGAACGTAATTGCTACATTGGAGCAGTTTTGAGTAAATGTAGTGTTTTCACTGCTTCTGCTTGGGCTCCTCGTCCATGAGTGACAGGTCCTTCCAGGAACCTGCTGCAGCAAAGGCTCTCAAAGGTCTGCAGATTCCTTCAGGGCACATCCACCTGCTCTGGTGTAGACTGCTCTATGGGCTGCAGGGGCACAGCCTGCCTCACCATAGTCTGCACCATGGGCCGCAGGGGAATCTCTGCTCCAGTGCCTGGAGCACCTCCTCCCCTCCTTCACTGACCTTGGTGTCTGCAGGGCTGTTCCTCTCAGATTTTCTCACTCTCTCCCAGATGCTGCTGCACAGTGTTTTCACCCTTTAAATACCTTGTCAGAAAGGTACCATCACTGTCACTGATGGGGTCAGCTTTGGGCAGCAGCAGGATCATTTTAGAGCCAGCTGGAAGCAGCTATGTCTGACATGGGTTCAGCTCCTGATGTCTTCTCACAGAGGCCATCCCTGCAGCCCACCTGCTACAAAAACCTTGCTATGTAAACTCAATATACTGGCCTACTTCCCTGCCCCATTCCAAATTTCCCATTGCAGCTTTCTTAATCTTGCTGGCTCCACTGGCAGTAAGATGGCAGTAGGAAAGCAAATGCATGTAAGGCCCCATGCCATCACTGTTTTGTTAACTGTTCTTTCAACAAGATTGTTCTGAACAGGGTTTGTTTACAGGATGGCTTTGTACCAGTCTTTGGTTTATGTTAGGGCACTCTCTTGCCATGACATGTATGACTGAACTGGTAGTAATGCAACTGTGGGAAGCAATTGAAGAATCACTAAAGGAGTTCCAACTATAGCTCCTATTTATAACAGCAGTGACCTAAAAATATACTGCAGTGGTTGATTAAACATGGGGACATTAGTAGTTAGAAATCATTTTTATTCTTATGGAAGTGTGAAAGGGTGTGTGTGCCATTATTATTTTTACTTCTAAAATAATTTGGGAATGTCTGTGATACACTTCCAATGGTTATTATCTGTAGGTAGGTGTGAAAAGCTTAAAACTATGCAGAACACAGGTAGGCAGTTTTTTAAAGCTGCGTAAGTATGCTCTCATCAAGTTAAATTGAATCTACATAACATGGTTTTAATTGGAAAAGGTCTGTATAAAACAAAATTCAGGTGTCTCACACAGGCACAGGCTTCAGTTTGTAATTGGAATACAGCATTTCTTGTGGCAGCAGTGTTTTCAAAGCCCTTAGATTGGTCCTAAAACCAAGCATTTATTATAATAGGTACACTACCCTCAATTGTCTCTCCCTTTCTTCTGTTACAGTGGAACATATCACTCCAGAGATGAAAGCACAGACAGTGGACTTAGCATGAGCAGTTATAGTGTACCTAGAACCCCCGATGACTTCCTGAACAGCGTGGATGAGATGGATACAGGTCTGGTTTTGTGTACATCCTTAATGCATGTTTTACAAATACACTCGTGCCCATTTGCAATGAAAACAAGCAACTCTGAGAACCTGTGATGCTTTCCACGTTGTTTTTCTACCACCTTCTAGTTTTGTAATAGAAATATTATGGTCATATTTGTGAGACATATACTTGTAATCAGCTCTGTTGGGAGGGTGGAGGATTGCTTATAAATAGTGTCATTCCTATTAATGGAGTGAGTGTCCATTTGCTTTTCTAAGTAATATTGCTTGTTCAGAGCTAAGAGCAGTACCTCATCTAGTGTTATTAATACTGCTCTAAACCAATATTTGACTCAGTATTGATTTTTTCCTTTAAGCATAAAAATTAAAATAAGCTAAATGACATCAAAGATATGTGAAGACTTGGGTCAGTAGGTGAAAAGTTGAAACAAAGGCATGTACTTTGTATGTACATCTGCGTGCAGTCAAGTCATCCTTGGTTTTTCTGATGGATTTCTATGAGTCACGTTCCTGTATAATGCAAGAGATACAGTTGTCCTGATATATTGTGGGTTGGGCGCTTCCAGTATATTTAATACATGTCTTGCTTTGTGTTATAACTAGGTGACAGTATCAGCCAAAGTAACATACCGTCCCATCAGAACCGTTTCCCAGACTACCTTGAAGCCATTCCAGGGACAAATGTGGACCTTGGGACACTGGAAGGAGATGGGATGAATATAGAAGGAGAAGAACTGATGCCAAGTCTGCAAGAGGCTTTGAGCTCTGACATCCTTAATGACATGGAATCTGTCTTGGCAGCCACCAAGCTAGATAAAGAGAGTTTTCTTACTTGGTTATAGGGTCTCAGGGAGACTGAATTCTAAATCTGTGAAGGATCTAAGGAGATTAGGACATCTGTATCTGAAGCTCAGAACAAGCCAGTGTGGCACACTTGGGCTTGTGTTCAGAAAAAGTAAATGAACAAATACTCAACAAGATTCTTTCATTTTGCTCTTCCTTGTCCATCGCTGCTGTTATATATTGCTGACTTTTTTCCACAGTTGACTCTGAAAAACAGACATCTTGATCTTTTTCTATTGCTGTTGCAACTACTGTTCAAGGGGGGTGGGGAGGGACGATGAGCCTATTTGGATGACGAATGCCATTCCTTTTGTCCTAGTGTGCGCTTGCATATCATTTTATCTAAGTACTCAGATTGAGAGTTAATTTCTGCATGTCACTGCTTGTAGTTTGCTCAGCTAGTTGTCTCTTGCTGCCTGTGGCAAGTGGTAAAACATGACATACTGGGGTGACAAGCCAAAAATGATGTATCTGGTCAAAAGAAGTCAATACTGATTTGGAGATATACCTTAAAGGAGGGCTGAAGACTGTTTGGCATTAAGTGTTTCTACTAGTAGCTTTTTGATTAGTCACAAAGTGCTCTTGTTCATATTTTATGTTATAGTAAATCATGAATCATTTTACATAGAAACGTATATGAACTTTGATTGTTGCCACATATTCTAGCCTTTCGTTTGTCAAAAATTGATTATTTTTGTTAGTTGGTTTAACTGTAGCTGTAGGATGGGAAGTAATTGTAGGTGGGTTTTTTTTAAATTAGTGAAATCTAAGGGTTTTTTCTGATTTCACATAGTCTTATTTAAATCTGAATTGTCTGCTTCTTTAATACTTAAAACATGCCTATTGTAGCCTGATAAGCTAGTGAGTACATAAACCAGTATGTTTTGCCTGTAACTTTTTTATTTTTTAAAGGCTAGCTTGAATGTAATCAGTAGAATTCATGACCAGTGGCTTATTTTTCATGTTTATTTGCAAGATTTGTAATTAGAATCTGATTGCAGCAGTATAAAAGTTAGAATCCTAACTGTCATATGTACAATTTTTAAATGCATTTTAAAGTAGCAGAAACCATTTTAAAATTACATATGCGTCTAATCTCTCTTCTGGTTTTAAGTTTTGATCTCTGAGTTTAGATTTTAAAATCCCTAATTGGGAAAAAACCTATGAAAAGTTTCTCTTAAATTAGCATGGAAAAAATATGAACTACTAATATCACTCTTAAGTTGCAATGAAAAGGCTAGAACACCAAAAAACAAATCCTCAAGAAAAATCTGAAATGTAATAGATATCAAATTCTGCTTGGTGAAAAATAAGCCCTGGACACTATATGTAGAAGAATGTAAAGATATGTGTTAGATGGTGACGTGAGCAGGTAATGAAGTGTATATTAGTCGTAGAGCTTAGTATGGGGTAGAGGTGAATATGAATTATCTTTATTTTAACAGGAAAAGATGTATCACTAAGTTGTCTGCAGGAGTTGACACAGTTTCCAAAGAGTATTTTTAAATGAACAAAATGAGCATGAATCAAACTTTCATTATAAGCTATGAAGTATTGTTGGGCTTTGGGTTTTTTTTCTGATGAAAAACAATGTCACCAGTTAACACCTCTATAACTAAGGGCCTGTCACCATCCTCAACATGAGCCTTTATTTTCAAGGGTGTTTAACATGGCTATAAATACATTGTAAGCGTGAAACTTGGTTTTGAAAAAAATCTCAGCTAGCAGGGTCTTCTCCTGGGGAGAGATTTTGGGGGGTTTATTGTTTTGTGGTTTTTTAAAAGACATTGATTATTTTTTGGAGGAATAAATCAGCAAAACAAAACAAACCCCCATATTATTATTATCATTTGGATTTTTAATGCTTCAGAAATAGTTCTGGTTTAGGATAATGTAAAGAATGAAAACTCTGAATCAAGTCTCATTTTAAAAACTGAAGCAGCAGAGGCAGAGAGATTTTAAATTTGCCACTATACTTGTACATTTACTACTTTATGTAAGGATTTTAGTGTTTAAAACACACAACACTGTTTCTTGCTTGTTATGGGATACAGGCAGGTTTTAAAATACCGATTTTCAAAACATATCCACAATGACAAATATATTCTGCTGCACCAATAATTCAGCGATTAATAGGCCACTTATGTTGTGCAATGACACAGTAGCTCCTGAAGCAGTATATTGTGTCCAAGATAGGGATTTTAGTAGTATTTTTACAGTTTTGTTATGAATTCTTCTCTCTTCTTCCCTTCAGGAAAATAAAAAAATAAAGACACTAAGTTGTTATAACTTGAATGGTCTGACATAAAACCACAACAGCAAGGAAATTCAGAGTTGATTCCATTTTAGCTGTCTTCCGCAGTCATGTCCAGGTGCAATAGCACATACGATGCACTGAGTGCAGACACCTGACATGCTGTACCTTGCTACAACAGCAGGGAGTACAGAACAAATTTTCTTTCCTTGCTTTTGTGTGTTTGTCACAGCTTTAATATTTGAATGTTTTCTTCTCATTGTAGAAACACTAAACTGCTTATACTGTGTTTGAATAGCACTGCTTAGGGTAGATACTGACAAACTGGGAATCCTTGAACTGCTCTAACATTAATTATGTTTTGTGATACTTAATTGATTTTAATACATTTCCGTTCTCTCATTTATTAGGAAACATACCATAGAGATGCTGTACTGTTGGCAATCAACATTAATCTGGATTATTTTTTTTTTTTAATTCTGCAAATGCATTGTTTGATGAAGTGGTTAAAATTGTTTGAAATGCAAAAGCGTTTGGGGTAGTATTTTATACTGATGTATATATTGAAACAGAAATCATTGTAATAATTGTAATAGCTGTTAGTTTTAAATACACTATATGCAGACAGATGGGACTGTACAGTACTGTGCTGTTCAACACCTGGGCAGGGCTACTGCTTGGCAACAGGTTGCAATGTCAGTAAACCACACGGATCAAATATTGTACCATTCAGTGTTGGCGCTCAACAGTGCAAACAGAGAAGAGACAATTTCAACATGATTAACACTACATAGCTTTCACACAGCTGGTAAATTAGTACTAAAGTGACCTTTTCACTTACAAGCATGTTTTTTATACAAGTTAGCAGGTGTGCCTGTGTAAAATAATGTGTGTTCTGTATCTTGGAAAAAATACTCTCCACATTTAGAATGTTGTATGTTAGAGAACTCTTAAATGCACCCTTGTCAAAAATTATATATATTAGTTACCGATGTTACTTTTAGATATGAGCATGACTGTAAGTTAGGTACTTAGTACATTCTGTTACATTATTTTTCTTTATGTAATACTTTTTCAGTTGTTTTATTTGGTATAAATATATACTTTGTGCTTAATCACCTTTGTTTGTTTTTAACATTCAGTAGTATGTAAAGATACTGACTTCCTTCAGTGAGATGGATGCATTGAATTGTTGGAATTCCTATTGTAGTACGTCTGTTCTCGTCCCCCTTGTCACTGCTTTTTAGTCACACTCCAGACCTGCAAACACTGTGCCCAAGCTCACCTAAGAGACAAAGGAGTCCCGCTGAAGTCAGCGAAGGCTTAGCACTAAAGTATACATCTTTGTGTTTGCAATAATGAAGAGACAGTGACTCTGTTGAGCCTCGTACAGCTTGTGTGAAACAATCCTTGCATATGGCACTAGAGTGAGAGCTGGGAACAGAACATCGTTACCTACTGTAAGAAAGCATCCGCTTTTTGCAGATAATGCTTGCAATGTTCAAGATCTTCCCACGTAGCAGATACATTTTTTGGCTAACTCTTAAGTTTATATGATAATTTGTGGCAGACTATCAATAAAGACACACTATTTTCATTTCCAAGTTTTGACTTATGAATTGTGAAATATGTAATGACATACGTTGAAAGTGTCTGAAGATTTCGGTGTAAAAAAGTTATGACGGTATTCATAGATTTTAATCTTCTGTAAACCAGGAATTCTGAAAGATGTTTCTTGATGTAATGCAGGTCGTGATGGCTAAAGTCAAACACTGTTTGCATTTCAACAATTCCAGAGTTACTACTATTAAGCACTGAAATGCCTCAACACAGTGAAACTCAGTGTCATCATGTTCTTTCTTAGTTAAAGATTCAGGGCTTGATGCTTCTGTCACTTTGTTTTACTCCTGAGTTCATAGCTAGGTTTAGTCACTCGGATCCTTTAAATTTAAACCTAACATCACACCTTGCACCTGGTGTGGTGCACTGGAAAGCCTGTGCCAGGGCATGACAAGGCTCTGATTTTATTTGCTGATACCACTCTCTCCCATTTATAAGGCAGTGACATACTGCAATAGTTGAAGTATTAGTGACCTTCTGAGGCAGCCCTAAATTGAGACTATTCCAGCAAAGCAGGATATCTGGTCCAGGTGTTCTAGGCTTACTTGGCAATTCCTTTTGAAATATTTTCAAGGCTTAGTTAAAAATAAAAAAGTATTTATTTCAGTAAGCCAGAAATACGCTTCCACAGAAGCGTTGTCTTCCCTTTGGTGATGTGCACATTACTAGCTAAAAAGGCGTTTTTCACCTAGGATCATTAACAAAATAATTACTTGAGATGGGGCTGTGATCTCTCTGGCACCTCCTGTTCTGGAGGCTCATTCCGATATAAAGTGGGGCCATCAATTTTATTTGCAGTGTCAGCATCCATAGTTCATATGTCCCTTTTGAAGAGTAAAAGAGTGCTTCTTGCCCCTTGTTGTGAGCAGTTACTGCTAACATAGTCATCTGTGCCCACTAAATGTGATCAAAATAGGAAGACATCTGTACAGCATGAGAACTTTGGGTTGACATGAAATGACAAATTGTCTTTAGACAATAGGGTAGGGCTTTGTACCAACTACTATATCCAGTACTAAATGTCTCTGAAATAAAAGAGCCAGTGTGGTTTTCTCTGAAGAAGATAGATTGAGGAAGCATGTTGAATAAGAAATGTATGAATACCAATACATCTGAGAAAGCTGCCTAGGGTATTTGTGGAAAACATGATTTTTATTTCTCTTGACAGAGGTTGTAAATGCTACAGATATAGGTAATTACTGACTGGTGGTATTTTCTCTGTATGGAAGTGAAGTTGGTCACTCGTATTTTCTATGTGAAACTGGCTTGTATTAGAACTTGAGAGGCAAAGTAATTTTAGTGGATTTTCCAGTCATCTTATTAGCAAGTGATTTAAAAAAGATGGGTGGGAGGAAGTCAGGAGCAGCTCAAGAGGCTTTTATTTGTTGTTACGCAACAACAAAATAGAGCTCCATGTAAGTGGTGTGTTAAATCTCCCCTGAAATGCCGTTTCTCCTTCTCCCATATATGTTATTTCTGAACTCCTCTAGCATGTTTTGAATTACTGTATTTACCACCTGCAAGTTTTCTTTGCCTGACATCTGAAGACTGGGACTGTAGCACCAGGTGCTGTTGGTCCCCAAAGGAGAGCAGAGTTCTTGCTCTCTGGAATTCAGCTGTCACCGTTTAAAGTCTGTAATACAATGCAGAAATCAGTCTGACTCCAAACTTACTGCCCAGCTACTGTTACAGGGTGGTTATTGGCAAGCACGGGTTTTTTTGAATGATGGTGGATTCCTGTTCTGGTTTGAATTCCCAGAGACTGGAAAAGTTTGTCTTTCTTATCTCATTACTTTGATTCCTGCAGCCAGCTGTCTGTCATAGCAGGGGCATTGTTCTGCTGGAGGGCTCCCAACCAGCACTTCAGCCTGATGTTAGCAGTGGGGTTTTTTTAGAGGTGCCAGTTTTATTCAGTCTTTCGCTCAGAGTTGCATTGTTAGGCATGCAAATACAATTGTCTCGGCTCTCTTGGCTGACAAGTGACCCTTTTCAGACCTCACCTAGCAATATAATCCTTTCATACCCATCATCCACTGTAGAGGTGTGTGACCTGGAGGTTCAGCTGTAATTCTGAACTTTCAAAGTCTACAGTTGAAATGAGATACTGATCGTGCATGTGTATGACAAAATCCCAGACCCATGCTTATAAGAAACTGCATGATTTAGGTGATAATACCTCACAGCAAATGGCAGTATGTG